GTGCTTCCACCTGCAGGGTCCTCCTTCCCCTCACTCCTTTTCCCCCGTGGGCTGAGTTTGGAAGGTGACACTGGACAGGGCCCTCAGAGGAGGACCGCCAGCAGCATTGGGGTGGGGCCGGGGGGTTCAATTCAAGGCCAACATGGTGACAGCCACCTGACCACAATAGAATCTATTTCCCATAATCCGCCTGAGTCCCTGGACCCGGGTCAGGAAGGAAGTCTTGTTCCCAAGCCCCCCTGAGACACACAAGGGGATGAATGCAGGGATCACATGAAGGGCCCAGAACCCGACGGGCACAGCCGATGACGCAGTTCCACTGACTCTCATTGCTATGCAAATGAACGGTCACTTGGTGAGTTGGCACAGACTATTAAAATGTGGTATTCATAAACGAAATGTAGCGTGTGGCTAGAGGTGCCTGGTGACTCTAATTCAGGATTCTCCCAAAAAAGTCTGGCTGTCTTGTCACCCTTGGCAACGTAACAAAGCAAATATTTCCGCAAGTATGTGTCAAGTGCCTACTGTGTGCCAACTAGCATTTATTGAGTGCCTACTATGGGATACAGCACTGAACAAAACAGGCAAAAAAAAAAAAATCCCTGCCCTCAGAAAACTCCCAGTTTAGTAGGGGACATTTAAGAAAAGAAGAACATGTAGTATGTTGGATGATGATCAGTGCTAAGGAGTGGGCCACATGGAGATCTGGCAAACGAGAGTCCCAGACAGAGGCAAGTGGAAAGGGCCTGAGGCAGAACGACGCCTCGTTCGGCTGAGAACAGGAAGTACAGCGAGGCGGCGAGGTCCAGGTCCTGCAGGGCTTTGTGGGTAGGGAAGGCCTTCTCTGTTACTCTGGGTGAGGTGGGAGCCAAGATGGGGTGGCGGGGGAGGGGGGTGGCGTTTCCTGAGCAGGGGAGGGACAGAGCCTAATTTCTTTTTAACAAGACCCCACCTGCTGCAAGTGGAGAGCAGACAGGGAGGCACTTGCAATAGACCAGAGAGAGATGATGGCCACCTGGACCAGGGCGGTGGCAGTGGAGGTGACGGGAAGCAGTCAGCTTCCAGATACCTGTTGAGGGTAGGGCCAACGGAATTTCGTGTTAATAGAAAGTGGAAGCAGCTGGACTCTACTCGTGTGTTTTGGGGTCAAGGAAGTTTGAGACCTGGTTAGAAAGTAGAGAGTCGGTTATCAAAAGGGAAGCCTTCTTACAGCCTCCTGGGTCTTTGTCATGCAGGCATTGAAAGGAACAGTTTTGGTCTTCGAGGGCTAACAAGGAAAACATCCAGGATGTATCATCAAAGGAAAAAAGGAAGATGCGGACTAGAATGGAAAATGATCGCCGTTTTGAAAACTAAAATTATGAATAAGAGCGAATGAATGGTCTTAGAGAACAGGCACCCCTAACTCAGCAGTGGTCACCTGGAGCGGGAGCCAGTGACATTCACATTCAGGATTGCCCTTCCTACCACGCGAAATAAAATAATAACAGATCCTGTTTTTAGTTCTGTTTAAAATTGCTCTCCTGGCGTTGTGGTGAACTTCGCTTAGCCAGTGTCCCCACCTGGGCCCCCTCCGTGGCCTGGACTGTAAAGGAGGCGGAACTTGGGGAAGAGAAAAATTTTCCTCTCGTGCTTGCTGGCTTGGAAGAACTGGAAAGGGCCCACCTGGCTTCTAATGTTTCTAAAAATAGAAAGTTGTCTTAACTTGCCTATAGTTTTGGCTTAGCCGTTCTTTTTACTTGTTCCAAGATGCCGCTTGTATGAGGGAATCGTGTGCCATGCGTGAAAACCCAGGATGTCAGGAGCGAGACCTGTAATGGGATGGAATTGAGCAGGATGTTGCCTCGGATGGGACGCCAGAAACGCTGGTGCAGACAGCACCTTCCACCCCACCCGGCCTCTGCATTCTTTCCGACACATAGGGCGGAGAGAGGAGTTTGGCTGCCGGTTTGTGTTAGCAGAGAGGAGGAAGCTGAGGGAACTGTGTCCAAAGCCAGTGCCTGGAGTTTGAATCCCTCTGGATGAGGGCTGGGGATGGTCCATGACAGGACTTCTGAGACCCTGGGCACAAGCACATCCGCTGTAGGGCCAGTGGTATACTGGTAAAAGTTTACCAACCAGCTCTCCAGGAGAAAATGTGTGTGTGTGTGTGTGTGTGTGTGCACACGTGCATCCATGTGTATATACAAATATATGCATGTACATGTGCACGCATGCACACATACATATACATACAGATATACATACATATACATACAGATGTATATTTCATATCAACTGATTCACACAGAACGTTTTCATTGATTTTTGCCCCTAATTCTTGTATCTGTCATCAACCTACAGTGACAACTGCTGAGCAACCGTAGTTCTTCGGGAGTGCTGGTCGATACTTTCTTTTACCTTAAGGAGGAAGGCAAAAGTGATAAAACAAAGAGCGTGTCGGAACTTCACTCCTTTGTCAACAAAACGAGCAACTTCCTTGATTTTTGGTGCTAGAGAGAGAACACACTTAATCTGCATCATTGACTTTTTCTTCCTCACTTTCTCAACTCTAGACACTGGACAAAAGACTAAGGCAAGTCCTGAGTCATACTGTTCGCCAATTCCCAAAGTGTAAACACTTTTAATGTGTCTGACGCCGACTTGACAGTCACTAAAAATGAAATCGTGGAGACGTGCAACAGCATGCTGTTATACAGTTTCCACCAGGCAGCTACCGTGGATGTAAATAACCTCAGGAGCATGAATAGTAGGAAAATGTAGTTTAAAAAATGGAACGTGAGAGTTTTGAGAGGGTATTACCTTTGTTTTTAATATAATTTAAATATATGTTTATGAAGGTTAATTTTTATTAATAGTTCTATTTAGCAACCAGTTCACCAAATTCCTGAAAAGCTGTCAATTGACTTTTGTGAGCCGGTACAAGCTGGCCCCAGCACTCTACTGTGTAGGGACCACACGACAGGAATGTCACAGGTTGGGGAGGAAGTCATTCCCTCCACCTCCACCCAGAACCCAAACCAGCTCGGGTGCTGAAAGCTGGGAGCTTTAGGAGTGCTGGGATGGGCAGTGACAATGGTGAAGCTTCTCTAAGTGGCCTTGGGGGCAGATGCAGGAGGGGACAACAAATAAGACCAGAGACCAGTTGGTGAGCCCGTGTGAGACACCCCTTTGGAACACACGTGAGACACCACTTTGGAGCAAGAACCGGAGGACGCTGAGGGGTGTTTGCCTTTAGGTGACAAGTAGGCGAGGACTCTGTAACCAGCAGACATCTGGGTTACATCACTCCGCACAGAAACGAAGCTGTGAGACCAGCTGTGCTTTCAGCAGTCCGTGAGGCTTTGCAGAAGCTTAAGGGTCCATAAGACTGTTATCACTGACATTGGTGATATGGCCCTCTAGGCCACTGAGGGCTTCTTCAAGCCCATCGTAATTCCAGCCTCCCCTCGTGCCCTCTCTGATGCCAGATTCACTGGGTCCCAAAGGAGCATTTCTGCCTCCCTGAGCTGTGTCTTACTCTCGAACGCCCTCGCCCACATTTAGAACCTAAATGCTCCCTAACCAGAGTCACAGAATTTTAGAGTTGCAAAGACATTTTAGAGATTTCCTAAAATAACGCTTTGTTTTGTTGAGGAGGACACGGAGGCCCAGAGGGGGAAGTGACTAGCTCGACGTTACAAAGAAAAAAAAAAAAGAGTCGAACTGGGTGAGGTGGGCAGCCACCCCGGTTTGCCTGGGACTTGGGGTTCGGCGGAGGAGGGGTTCTGGGACAAGTAAGTCACCTGGGGCCACCACTCACGTCTCAGCTCGAGACCGAGGCAGAGGGCCCGAGCCAGCCCCTGGAAGGACAGGAGGCCTGAGTCAGTACAGAGCTGCAGGATGGAATTTTCCAGGGAAGAGAAAAGAGGAGGCCACATCTGGGTGCCTGGACCTCCAACGCGGCCCAGATGCCTGGCACCGGAGGGATTTCCCACCTGCCGCCGCCCTGCTGTGGATTTCTTATCTCTTGGCCGCTGCCAGCCACAGCTGCAGGAACTCCATATGCAAATAGCTTGCAACGATATTAATGTGTGATTCCCCCAGGGAGGCCTGTGGAAAGCACTGGATGTGTTTCACAATTCTGTTTCGTCCAGAGGAGCCGTGGGGGCCCGGAATGATTTGAAACAGATTTTTGAAAAGTCAAAATAAAATTGGAACAAAATCTAGTACAGGCATGTGCCACTCTCTCCGTCCCCAGCTCTCTCCACCCCGGCCCAGCGTTTACCCTCAGGAGCCTCCTACAACAGGGCAGCAAACACAGCAGATGACATCAGGCACTCTTCATTCAAGCCAGCACCCCCTGTCCGTCTTAGGACAGTGTGCCCCCTCCCTGAGCTGACACGCCACCCAAAGAGCTGAAGGCCATGCCTCGCGTTGCTTCTTCCTCTGTCCATCGGCTCTGCCTGCCCCCTACACAAAATGCTCTCTAGAATCCGTCTCTTCCTCCACCCCCACTTCCTGGGGGTAATCACAGAATCATAGAACACAGAATACAGACCACTGTGGGTGGAGAGTTTATCCAAAGTCAAGTCAGAAAGACAGAGATCTGACGCTCATCTCTGCCACTGACCAGCTGCGTGACCTTAGGCAAGTCATTTCACTTCTCTGAGCCTCTGTTTGCTCTGCATACAGTGAGGAGCAGAAGAATATCTACCCCATTGGGGGCTTTATAATGCCTAGCACCGTGCCTGGCACACAGCGGACGCCCAAGAAACGGCAGGCATAGTAAGAGCCGCTAAAAATCGCCCCCGTCCACCACTCGGTTTCAGAGATGGGCAAACGGAGTCTCAGAGCGGGGAGAACTTGCACACGGCCACACGGCGAGATCCTGCAGGCTCCCCTCTCGGGCTTGGGGAGCTGCGGGCTGGAAGGCGAGGAAGCGCTCACACCTCCCCGGCCCCTGGAGCCCGGTCCTCAGGCCCGCGCGCGCGGAGCCGGCGCCGTCGCTGCGCACTCACCATCGGCGGCTCTGGGCGTTCGCGGCCGTGTCACGCCATCCTCCTCCGAGCAGCCTGGATCGCTGAAGCGAGCGCTGGCTCTCGCCCGCTCTGGGACTCGGCAGCGGAGCCGGGACTCCGGGAAGCCCGTCCAGGCTGGCCGGGGCGGGGATCGCCTCCGAGGGGCTCCGAGGAGCGCGGAGCGCGGGGCGCACCGCCCCGTTTCTTCCCGGCGGTGCCGTGGGCACTGCGCGCTGCCGGCTCCGATAGCGCAGCGAGGCTCTTATCTGGCCTGGGTCAGGGCGCAGGCGGCCGTGGTGCCGGGGTTCCAGGAAGCCCGCCTGGGCCCTCCCCAGCGGGCCCAGCTCCCCCGGATGCTGCCTGCAGCTCTGGAAGCGGCCGATTGCCCGTCACTGTCACCGCGAGCTCTGCCAGGGAGATTTCCATGCTGGCCCCCAGCAGGCGGGGCCCCCACCCCTTCACGTCCCACCCCCCACTCCCATCTTGGCAAGGGGACTGGGAAAAGGCTGCTAGTCTCAAGTCCACACAGCGCTTGTGGTCGTGTCCTGAACTCTCCACGATTAATCACGGAGCATCTGATTTCTGCTCTGCCTCGGAGGGGGCGTGGGGACGCCTGGGAGTTTCTGTTTACTCCATTCCGCACCGGGCTGCGTGCTAATCACAAACAGACAGGGGCGCAGCCCGCCCCGCCCCCAGCCTCTCCCCCCTCTGCTTACCTTGCCACT